CCCCATCTTCCTTCCGAGGAGTGGCCTTAGGCAAGAAAAATGGCAAGTCTAGGCTAGTGTTGCTGTAATATAAGACAGCCATTCATGAACCTGAAACATAAATTCTATTCTCTTTGTAAAAATTGAATGACGAAGACAATTTGATGAAAGTTATTGCAGAGTTTTAGTGATTTTCCTTAAAATTATATTGTAAGTTGCTGGACTAGAACTTGAATTAAATTTCCTGACCATAGTTAGGGACAGAGACTACTGCACATAAGAACCTATAACATAACTAGCTTTTTTCTGCTGTATCCCCAGTGTCTAGCAAAGTACATAATTTCAAGTTCATTGTTAGAATAAGGTAAACAATGACATTTAAGTATGACTTTGCTTTCAATTAAGAACTGGGTAAAACTCTTGGCTTTATCAAGTATTAGAAAATTATTTAACTGCTCTGAACCTGTTTTCACATCACCAAAAATGGGACTAAAACTAAAACTTAGGTCTGACCCTTTGAAGTGCTGATAATATAAATGTGAACAAGAGGGTGAGGGAAATAAGGGCAGATAACACCAATATAAACAAACAAAACTAGTAAATTAATAAATATGAAACCAAAAAAAAAAAAAAAAAAAAAACCCACTGTCATAGAGTCAATTCCAACTCATAGTTGACTGTCACCGGGTTTCCAAGGCGGTAAATCTTTTTTTGTTTGTTTGTTTTTTTGTTTACTTGTTTATTTATTTTAATTGTGATCTGGGTGAAGATTTACAGAGCAAATTCACTTTCCATACAGCAGTTCACATACACTTTGTCTCATGACATTGACCACAGTTTACCACAATGCAACAGCTCCCCTCCCACCTCCTCCCCACAGTTACCTCTTCCCAGTGTCCATCCCTCCATGGGCTCCTGCCCCCTGAGCTGTCTCCCTGTGCATAAGCAGCCCTTCTTTCTCCCATGATTGTTCTCTCCAAAGAGTGTATCTACTTGAGGTAAATGTTCAACTCATATGCCTGTCTTTTGTTTGGCTGGAAACCACAGGTGTGGGTTCAATTCCAGACCCGAAGGGCAGCTAGGGGTCATAGTCTCAGTGGTTCCACCAGGCTCTATCAGACCAGCAAACCTGGTCCCCCCCTTTTTTTCCTCCAAATGATTTTCAGTTTTGTTCCACATCGTTCTCCCGCTCTATCAAGGATCTCCTACATAGATCCCCTTCCAAGTGGGTGACAGTGGTAGCCGGGCACCACCTAGTTCTTCTGGTCTCATAGTTGTATAGGCTGCAGATCAGATGGCGTATCAGTCTCTAGGACTAATTATTTCAATGAATTTTGGTTTTCTTCATTCTTCTTTGCACTTGACGAGGAGAGACCCATTGTTGCATCTAGATGGCAGCTTGCTAGCTTTTAAGATCCCAGTCACTACTCGCCAAGGTAGGAGGTGGAACAATGTTTTGTATAGTATGTTATGCCAATTGAGCTTGATGTCCCCTGCGACTATGGTCCCAAGCCCACAGGTTCAACTACTTGGTCTCTCTGGGTAGCTGGCTATGACCAAGCAGTGACCACAACCTTGCCAAGGCGCTAAATAGACTGCCCCATCTTCCTTCTGCAGACTGGCTGGTGGGTATGAACTGTCAACCTTCTAGTTAACAGTCAAATATCTTAGGCACTGTGCCACCTGAGCTCCTTAATAGATATGATAGCCAGTTATAATGAATGTTTTGAGGAAAACAAGATGCTGTAATAAAAAATAAAATTCAACTTACGAAAATAAATACCCAGTAGTAAGAACAGTATCTGACATTAAAAAAAAAAAAAAGACAAACTCACTGCTGTCCAGTCGGCTCTGACCCATAGTGACCCTCCTTGGGTTTCTGAGGCAGTATCACTACGGAAGTAGATTGCCCAACCTTCTTTCCGAGGAGTGGCTGGTGGGTTTGAACCGCCAACTTTCTGGTTAGCAGTCAAATGCCTTAGGCACCATGCTACCAGAGCTCCTGACATAATATGTGCTTAATAAATATTAAAGCTTATTCATACCTTCCTCCATTAAATTATGAATTAAAAATATTGAACATGAAGAATATTTAATTCAAATATTTGAGTAAACAAAGTGATACAATTAGAATGTAATATATTTAATATAAAAGAAGGTTAAAGAACTAACCAAAACCTACTACTAAGGAGTCGATTCCGACTCATTTGCCCCATAGGGTTTCCAAGGTGTTAATTTTTTTAGAAGCAGAGTGCCTCATGTTCCTCTGGAGCAGTGGCTGGTGGGTTCTAGTCCTCGGCCTTCTGATCAGTAGCCAAATACTTCAACCACTGCACCACTACAGCTCTTTGGTCAAAGAACCAGCACTTTATAAATACTGGCTCCGAGCATGCCTCAGGAGGTAGTACACAGCAATTGAGAACATGTCCTCCAGTCAGAAAGATTCCTGTTCAATCACACAAACTTTGAGCAGGGTACCTGACCTACCAAGCCTCGGTTTTCCAACTTAGTTGTACACTGAGACCAATATAAGCACCTATCTCATCGAATTCCTATGAAAATTAAGTGAGATAATGACGTTTTTGGCGTATACTCTTTTAGTAAAGGATTCAACAAAATGATCACCCCTATAAACCTCATGTCTTTATCTCACAAAATCACTAGCTGTTTTTATTTTCTACTGAGTTAGTGCTTTATTACCCAAACATGTGCTTTGGAAAGAAATACACTATTTATTTTCAAAAGAAAAAATAACTATCAGTCACAAATAAAATAAAGATGAGAAGCACTGGTCCACACAGTTGGAAATGTCATTTAGATTTCAAGTCTATTACTCAAGAAGGAACCATGGTGACGCGGACGTTAAGCGCTCGGCTGCTAATTGGAAGGTAAGCGATCGAACCATAGGGGCTCCGGGGAAGAAAGCTGTGGCAATATGCTTCCTTAAAGATTCTCACTGCCATCGACTCGATTACGTACGACTCACAGCGACTCCCCTTGAGTTTCCAAAACTGTAAATCTTTTACGGAAGCAGACCACCTCCCATCTTTCTTCCGCGGAACAGCTGGTGGGGTTGGAACCACAGACCTTTTTGGTTAACAGCCAAATGCCCTAAGCAGCCTTGGAAACACTGTGGGGGCAGTTCTACTATGTCCTACGGGGTCGTTAAGAAGCGGAATCGACTTGATGGCAATGGAATTTTTTTTTTTTTACTCCAGAATGGCCGAAAGCACGACATAAGCAAAACTTAGTAACAGTGGCAGACACCTGAGAAGTTGCTCCCATACATGGTCAATCCCCTCGGTCATTAAGCAAGTGACAGAAAAAGATCTGCTACTCCTTCTCTCTCCACCCCAACATTGGCCTGGATAAGTAATAACCTCTCTCCTCTAGAGCTTTCACTCTACACTAGCTTCTCAACCTTGCGCGAAGGAAAAGGTGTTACAGGTAAGGCGGGCAGGGTTGCAGGATGCGGTGTCCTTTTCTCAATCCTTCATTCACCCCAAAACCATGATCTCGGATGTGTTGTCCCCCCTCCACTGCACAGAGATAGATGTTGATACTAAACAAGGTTAAAACTTTTTTTTTTCTTTCAGAGGGCACCACCCCAGGCGTCGTTTGCACAAGTCTGAGAAAGCGGGATCTTACCTCGTTTTCAGGCTCGGGCGAGTCTTTCCAACGCCGAGATAGGAGCTTCAGTAAAACGGGACCGCTCCCCTCAACCTCTCCCACGCTGCTGACCAACAGCCTGACCTCACCTGGGAACTGCTCCACCAATAGCTGCTTAGGGAAACCTCAGGAAGAGCGACCCGGCGAGTGACGCCATGGAAGCCACAGTCATGATCTACCGCGCTCAGCCCACCAGCCCCGACTTGACTCGGCCACCGCGCCTCCACCCTCCCGGTCCTACCCCCGCTGCCCGGGTATAATCGCTGCCCTGGTATAGGCGCAGCCCTGGTATAGGCGCAGCCCCCCGCACTGCACGCCGGGAACGCCCTACCTCCCAGAGACTTCAGATCCCAGCATGCACATGACACCGACAAAAACTGTACTCTGGGATTTGGAGTCTTCATCCTACGTTTTCTGCAGGACCTTTAACTCTGAGTCCAAGCACCCCGCCGGTGCATCGGAACGTAAAGCATCACTCGGCGTCGTGAAATGTAGGCTTCATTTGCATCCGGGGCCTTGCTCTGGCCTTGGCTGGGTGGGGAATGGTGTCGCCTAGCAGCCACTGCCGCTACTGCTTGCTCTGGACCAGTTGGCGGGACCAAGAGCCGGGTGGAACAGCGTCGGGAAGAGATCGGGGCGCTGCAGCAAGGCTCGGTTTGGTTGGTGCGGTAGTTGAGGGGCCGCTGCTGATTTAGCCAGGCTTAGTCTAGATGAATTGCTCCGCGTGAGCCGGAGCTGCGAGTCACACGCAGGTCCTTTGGCCTCAGGGCCCGTATTCAACAAGCCAGCTTCCCCGCACCTTCTATCCCTGGTCCGCGAATTTTCTGCCTTTTTGTTTAAGCCGTGGTTTCCTCGACCCATCTTCACTCATTTTAACCAATTATTTACGCACTTTTGTCCCCAGTTCCTGTTTCTCTGAATCACGGATCGATTTTAGCCTTTGCTGCACCTCGGGCTTAGCACTGTTAGACGTGTGCGCGCGTTGGGGGGGGGGGGGGGGGGGGGAAGGAGCGAGCGGAGCGAGCAGAGCGAGGGGGGGCAGGGATTGGTGGTGGTGGTGGTGGTGGTAGAGAGGCCCCAGAAGCTTACCTTCTACTGGGATTAGTTTTAGCGAGGAAACCATCCTACCTTATTTAACAAAAACAGTAGTTTGTTCTGATGGTTTTGGCTACCTACTATATATAGGTTTGATCAAGGTTATTTTGCCCACTAACTTGCTTTGCAATTAATTAGCAAAAGCTCTTTGCAAAGTACCTCAGATAGTTACAATGAGTCAGTAATGCTGTTTATTTTGGAAATTCTGACAACCCCTGTTTTGTTACAGAAGTTAAAGCACGGTGAAAGAATTCAACATGCCACCTAATATAAACTGGAAAGATATAATGAAAGTTGACCCAGATGACCTGCCTCGACAAGAAGAACTGGCAGATAATTTGTTGATTTCTCTATCTAAGGTGCTTAACTGATAAGAGCATGGAAATATACATATATACACACATGCACATAAATACATGAGCTCTGGTGGCACAGTGGGTAAGGCATTTGGCTGCTAAGCAAAAGGTCAGCAGTTCAAACCTATCAGCTGCTCCTGGTGAAGAAAATGAGGCAATCTATTTCTACAAAGATTTATAGACTTGGAAACCCAGTGAGTGTAGCTGTGAGTTGGAATTGACTCAATGGCAGTGGGTTTTTGGTTTGTGTGTGTGTGTGTGTGTATGTATACTTAGACACAGACATATGGGAGCTCTGGTGGTTCTGTAGTTAAGGCATTGGGCTGCTGACCAAAAGGATGGCAATTTGAACTCGCCCGCGGCCCTGTGGGAGAAAGATGAGGTGGTCTGTTTCTCTAAAGAATTACAGCCTTGGAAACTATGGAGTTCCTATGAGTTGAAATCAGTTTGATGGTAGGGGGTTTGGTGGTTTGGTTATGTGTGTATGGTGTGTGTATATATATACACACACCATACATACATACATGTGAATATATATTATTAAGTTGTCATTGAAATCATTGAATGCTACACCTGGAAGTGTTCTTATATTTTGATTAAGAGTTACAAAATAAAACAAAATTGTTTGTTTACTTAGGTGGAAATAAATGAAATAAAAAGTGAAAATCAAGAAAGCTTGATACACCTTTTCAGAGTTACTCAGTCTCTAATGAAGGTTTGTATCCAACAAATTTTAAAATAACTTTTACTGTTAAATATCTCTGTGAAATACTTTGTGAAATCTAAATTGCCATGCAAAAGTATCTTCAAATGTACGTGGAGAACCTTCAGTGTGCAAAGCATTGCTAGGTCCTACTCTGTTCCTAAAAGAATAGGGAAAACAGAATGGGTATGTTTAAAAGTAAATAGCATACATCTGCCTATGTTATTGTTATGTGCCATCGAGTCAGGCCTGACTCACAGCAAGGTCCAAATGAATAATGCAGACAGTGACTTTATAGAAATTTGTTAGAAGGGGAGAGATTTTAAAAGGTTGAAGAAATCTCATAAAGGATGAAGACTGATAACTAGTCTTAGGTAAACAGAAAGGAATGGAAAGGTAAAATGGCAAGGAGATTCTAGAATTGGGGATTACTATAAAAGAGAATAGAAAATGTGCTTATTCTTTACATTTGTGGAGATAACTGCAGAATACATGTAGCAGGTTATAGAGGAAATAAGCATTGGTGGATAGTTTGAGAAAGGCTATGGAAAGCCTTAAAGATGTATTATTCTATGCTATTAACAATGAAGAGCCATTAAAGATTTTTAAGCCACAATTGACATGTAAAATATACCTTGAATCAAACAAAATATACCTTAGGAAGGCTAAACTGGACTCAGTATACAGGATTAATAGAAAGGAATTAAAGATGATATTAGACATAAGGAAGATTGGACGATCTACTTCCATAGTGATACCACCTTGGAAACTCAAGGATGGGCTGCTATGAGTCGCATCAGACTTGACGGCAGTAAGTGAATTTTAGAATAAAGACAATTGAAATTAGAAAAAGAAATAGTGAAGAAATTTACAAAACAAGAAGACGCAATACTGGTCATAAATCTTGAGGGAAAAAGAAGACTCAGAGTTGTTTCTGGCTGTTCTGAGAATCTAGAAATTATAGTCTTTAATGAAGAAATCATGCATATATTCATTCAACAAAAGTTTACTGATTGTCTCCATGTGCCGGGCATTGAAGGGGCTGAGGATTGGGATGGTGAATAAAAGAAAATCCTTATTCTCAGTTCTTATAGTTAATGTTACGGGATATTCAAATAGTTTTTTTTTTTTTTTTTAATGTTTAGATGAAAGCTCAAGAAGTAGAGCTAGCATTGGAAGAAGTTGAAAAAGCTGGAGAAGAGCAAGCAAAATTTGGTAAGTTCCTAGGAAAAAAGGTTAATTATGGTGTTAGATTTAATTTATTCAGTAAGCACCAAGAATTAAATTTAATATATTCTATAAAATGTGATTATTATGTTTAGTTTTTGAAGACATTTTCTAAAAGTTCTGTTTTGTTTTTGTGGATCTAGTATACAACAGTTCATTTCTTCTCTTACTATTTTCTTATCACCATCCACATGTAATCTTAGATTTTAAAATAATTTTATTATTGTATTGACATTCATTTAAAAGGTTAATTTGAGGTAAATCTAACCAGGCATAATGTTTATCTTGTTTTCTTTAATAGAAAATCAATTAAAAAGTAAATTGATGAAACTGGAAAATGAACTAGAGGTATGTCCTTTTGTATTCCCACTTGACTGCTAACAAGAAGGCTGGAGGTTCAAACCCACCAGCCACTACTGGGAAAAAAGTTTGGGCAATCTACTTTTGTAGTGATACTGCCTTGGAAACCCAAGGAGAGGTCACTATGAGTCGGGTCTAACTTGATGGCACATCATAACAACAGCAACAAAGTATAGCTGTCATTAATTTTATTATTTTAAATTATTGCTTTCAAGTTCTTTTTATTGTTGGATGGAAAAAAAATCCCAAGGATGATACTGTGTTCATATTATTTATATTGTATGTCTTTTATGTGCCTTAAATTTTGCTAATGATTGAGCATCCAATTATGAACAAAAATATAGTCAATAACCTCATGGAGCTTACAATCTAAAGAGGTATATGGAAGGGTTATTAATTGGAGTGGAGTAGGTTAAGATGGAGATTTGAGGAATAGTGACGGAAGGGTATGGTAGAAGAAGTAGCTTTTGAGAAAGCCAAGAGACAGAAAAAAAAAATGTGTTGTTGAGAAACTGCATTGAGATTCCTGAGAAGGTAGGGAGAATACACCTGGATTAGCCTTTAACAGGAGGATAGGTTGTCTTCCTTTGCAATAGAATGAGAGGAAGAATGGATGTGTACAGAAGCTTTTATATTTGTAGGTTTGGTGCCTGGGAATTGAGATGTTGAGAAGAGGCCATCTGCTAATAATACGTGTAGAAGATGGTGTGGTCAAATTTTAGGGAAGGCAGGAGGTCTTCCAATTAATAACCCTCCATATATATGAAATATATATAATGGAGAATGTGTTAGAGTATACATAGATTTGAGTTCTAATCCTTATTTATTTATTTAGTTTTGTTTTTACTTGCTTACTCTGTGAACTTGGGTGAGTTATTTCTTACTCTGTATTGTATACCCAGTTCCTAGGGAAATGCCAAGCAATCTAAATAAACATTAAATAAATTATGAAGTTGAATTGATTCTGTGTTAGTGTTTAGCTGGGAAGCTGCTGTAGAAGAATAGAAGGGTAAGGCGGTTGAAGATGTTGGCAGGGAAGTAAATGAAGTGGTAATTATAGAATCTTTAGCTGAATAGGCAAGGAAGTCAACGTTGGAGGGGAGAGGGTGCTGAGAGTTAGGGAAGGCGAGGAGGAGTCAAAGGATTAGAGGGTCCTGTGAGGTCAAAGGACAGGTGGCCAATAGAGTGGAAATAACATGATGTTCCGACTTATACAAGGTCCTGGTATAAGCATGGGGATGAGAAGCTATAGTGAATTTAAGACACAAGAAAGAGAAATCGGAGTGAAAGTTATATGGATGTGGAAATTACTGGGGCTTTTAATGGAATAAGCCCTGTGGCACTGTGGTTAAAGTGGTCTATTACTAACCTAAATGTCTGCAGTTCAAACACCACCAACCATTCCACATCAGAAAGATGTGACAGTCTGCTTCTGTAAAGATTTATAGTCTGAAAAGCCTGTGGGATAGTTCTACCATATCCTATGGGGTTGTTCGGAGTTGGAATCAACTCTGTGGCAAGGAGTTTTTCTTACTGGAAGGAAAACTGTGAACTACTTGCCAAAATTCTCAGTAACAATTTGAGAATGAATGGGAAGTTGAAGTGCTTGGGAAGTCGAGTGAATAGCAACATCCTAGGGTAGAGCAAGATGTTATGTGAGTTTTAAAGCAACTAGTTTTTACAGAATGGTGAAGCAGTGATGTTTGGAAATGAGAGGTGAGTCTAGGCCACGGGTGGGGTATGAAAGAATGAGTAGCTTCCAGTCGTAAGAGTTCCAAGGGAATCAGTATCTTCAGAGACAATGCAGCTCATGCAAGGAGTTGGAAGGGAAGATTTAGTGAAAAGGCTGAAGTTGTAAAGTATTAATTTTTCTTGAGAGAGGATTTTTGAAGAATGAGAAAAGTTGGATTCAGATAGAAGAGTAATACAACTACATGGTGAATATAACAATGTTAGATGACCAAAAGACTTGATGTTTTGGGAAAGAACAGAAATGAACAGAAATATTAAGTAAAATGTATTTAGTTAACTGCAGAATTTTCAAAAAAATTAATCAAAAACCAGGCTGTCCATTGTGTTAGTACTAACCACTATGGCATTTACATTAATTGAAATTAAAACTTCAGTTCCTCAGTTGTACTGGAGAGAACATTTCCATTATTTCAGAAAGTTCTGTTGAATAGCACTAGTCTAAATACTCCTGCTATGAAGGTAGTTGTGAATGGTGGAAGAAGGGCAGATTAAAAAACATCAAGGTTCAGTGACTGGAGCAGAGACTTTGCTAGTATGTAGCCTGGTTTCAGAGCTTTGAGATTCATGAAAAGCTTTGTTAATTCTTTGCTTACATTATATGCCTTTGCCATTTAGTGTGGCCCTTGTGGCTCAGTGGCTATAGCAGAGCCTGAGTGATTGACTGTCAATTTTTTGTAGCTGAGTGGTTCAGGAGAAACTTAGGGGGCTGTCAGCCTGTGAACTAAAGCTAAAATTAGCTAAATTTAAAAAATGGTTCTTAAGCTAATATCATTTGCTGCTGAAGGATAAAATTTAAAGTCAAGAGAGTTACTTGCTTGTTTTTGATTCACTTGGACCTCCAAATGGAATGAGATTCATTTATACTTTCATTCTGTTACGTTAAGATGGCACAGCAGTCTGCAGGTGGACGTGATACTCGGTTTCTACGTGATGAAATCCGCCAGCTTGAAAAGCAATTGGAACAAAAAGATAGAGAATTGGAAGACATAGAAAAGGAATTAGAGAAAGAGAAGAAAGTTAATGAACAAGTAAGGCACATTATTTCAATGACTTTTAACTGTTCAAGTTACCTAAATAAAAGCTGATTAATCAATGATACCAGTTTGTAGGTTTGTATGTGTTTTCGTCCTCTAGTGCTGCTATAACAGAAATACCACAGTGGATGGCTTTAACAAACAGGAATTTATTCTCTTTCTGCTTAGGAGGCTCGAAGTCAAAGTTCAAAGTGCTAGCTCTAGGGACTAGGTGATGGCCCCTTGACCTTGAGCTTTAGCTCTGCCTCTTGTTCCTGGCCCACTGGAGCTGGAGGCAACTCTTAACTCAAGCATCTGATGGGTGCTGAGGCTGACAATCAAGGTCAACAAGTAAAATGGCACAGTCCCAAAATCGTCAAGCAACATGACAGCCCACCTAGTTCAAGTCCAGAAATAGACTCGAGATCAGCAGACAACATGATAGACCACTAAGATGAAGCCTCAAGCAAATGCAGGATCCAGATGTGCCAGAAAGCTAGAGACCATTCTCAAAATTTCTAATATACTGGAAGTAGGTCATATCCCTAAGGCAGCTATTTAGCTGCTTACAGAACATTCCACCATGGAGTTGATTACCAGTCTCATCATGAGGAATAATTACATCCACTTACCCAGCTACTCAAAATTAGGCCCGGCCAAGTTAATACACAATCTTAACTGCCACAGTATGCTCTGTCTGAGGAATGATGTGCATTTATCTCTAAGGTTTTATATCTCTGTTTATTTATCATTGTATCTTTAAAGCATACTAGGTCAGGTACTTCTGGTGGATATGACGTGGAGATTGTTCATATTTGGAGGTACATTTTCTCAGAACATTGGAATACCATATATAAAATTGATGCTTTGGTCTTGATTGGTATGATTCTTTTTCTGAAAACATTAATAGACATTCACAAGAGTGGATTATTTGGGGGCAAGAAGTCATACTTATTTGTATTAATGTCTTTATACTAATAGTAGAATTGGAAATTCATCTTTTAATGAAATATTCAATAATAATCATATTCCTTATTTTCAGGAATATACTGTTTTTTGCAATATATGAGTTTTTGAAAAGTGTGGTAATATGAGCAGTCTGTAAATCAATTCACATTTAAAATCATGACATTTCATCTTTTACATATGCATAGTTAGTTATAGTTTGTCTTACTTGGTGGTTTGTGTGTTGCTGTGAGGCTGAGGGCTATGCCACCGGTATTGAAAATACCAGCAGGGTCATGCACGGTTGACAGGTTTCAGGGAAGCTTCCAGACTAAGAGAGACTGGCAAGACAGACAGGACCATCCACTTCTGAAAAAATTGGTCAGTGAAAACATTATGAATAGCAGTCTGATAGTACTGTCTGATATGTTGCTGGAAAACTTTGTGAATGGCCCTGAAACATTATCTTATACTGTGCTAGAAGTTGAGCCCCTCAGGTTGGAAGGCATTCAGAATACGACTGAGGAAAAGCTGCCTTCTTCAAGTAGAATCAACCTTAATAATGTGCATGGAGCAAAGCTTTTGAGACCTTCATTTACTGATGGGCCACAACTCAAAATGGGAAGAAATAGCTACCCACATACCACGGAAACGTGGAATGTATGAAGTATGAATCTGGGAAAATTGAAAGTTGTCGAAAATGAAATGGAATATATGAAGGTCTATATCCTAGGCATTAGTAAGCTGAAATGGATGGGTGTTGTCCATTTTGAATCAGACAATCCTGTTGTCTACTGTGCTAGGAATGATGAATTGAAGAGGAATCATGTCCCATTGATCATCAAAAAGAATGTTTTAAGATCTATCCTGAAGTACGTGCTGTCAGTCACAGGATAATACCTTTACGTCTACAAGGAAGAAGAGTTAATGCTCATCTTACGCACTAACCACTAAAGTCAAAGATAAAGAAATTGAAGATTTTTACAAACTTCTGCAGGCTAAAATTGACCAAGCATGCACTCAAGATGTATTGATAATAACTAGTGATTGGAATGCAAAACTTGGAAACAAAGAAGAATCATCAGTAGTTGTAAAATATGGCCTTAGTTATAGAAATGACTCTGGAGATCGCATGATAGAATTTTGTAAAACCAATGACTTACTCATTGCAAATACCTTTTATCAACAATATAAACAGCAGCTAGACACGTGGACCTTACCAGATGGAAAACGCAGGAATCAGATCGACATCAGTGGAAAGAGGCAATGGAGAGAATCAGTATCTTCATTCAAAACAAAGCCAGAAGCTGACTGTGTAGTGGACCATCAGTTGTGTATATGCAAGTTCAAGTTGAAGCTGAAGACAATTAAAAGGCCACAAGAGCCAAAATACGACCTTGATTATATCCCACCTGAATTTAGAGACCATCTGAAGAATAGATATGATGCATTGAATACAAATGACTGAAGACCAGACCAGTTGTTGGATGACATCAGGAACATCATATGTAAAGAAAGCAAAGGGTCATTTAAAAGACAGGAAAGGAAGAAAAGACTAAAAGGGATGTTAGAAGAGACTCTGAAACTTGCTCTTGAGCAGAGAGTAGCTAAAGCAAATGGAAGAAATGATTAAATAAAAGAGCTGCATGGAAGATTTCAAAGGACAGCTCCTGAAGACAAAATATTATGAAATGTGCAAATACTTGGAGTTAGAAAACCAAAAAAGGAAGAACACAATTGGCAATTGCTCAAGCTGAAAGAACTGAAGAAAAAATACAAGCCTTGAGTTGCAGTATTGAAGGATTCCATGGGTAAAATATTGAATGATGCAGGAAACATCAAAAGAAGATGGAAGTAATACACAGAGTCCCTGTACCAAAAAGAATTAGTCAGTGTCCAGTTATTTCAGGGGGTAGCATATGATCAATAACCATTGATATTTAAGGAAGTCCAAGCTGCACTTAAGGCATTGGCAAAAAAACAGCCTCCAGAAATTAACAGAATAACCACTGAGATGTTTCAACAGACAGATGCAGTGCTGGATGTGTTTACTTGTTTATGCCAAGAAATTTGGGAGATGGTTACGTGGCCAACTGACTGGAAGAGATCGTTATTTGTGCCCATCCCAAAGAAAGGTGATCCAACAGAATGTGGAAATTATCAAACAGTATCAATATTACGTGCAAGTAAAATTTGCTCAAGATAATTAAAAAATGGTTGCAGTAATATATTGACAGGTAACTTCCAGAAATTTAAGCTGAATTTAGAAGAGGACATGGATTGAGGGATATCATTGCTGATGTCAGATGTATCTTGGCTGAATGCAGAGAATGCCAGAAAGATGCTTACCTGTGTGTAAATTGACCATGCAAAAGCATTCGATATGTGGATCAAAACAAGTTATGGATATTACTGAGAAGAATGGGAATTCCAGAATATTTCATTGTGCTCATGAGGAACCTGTACATAAACCAAGAGGCTTTTGTCCAAACAGAACAAGGGAATATGGCATGGTTTATAATCAGGAAGGGTGTGTGTCAGGGTTGTATCCTTTCACCATACTTATTCAATCTGTATGCTGAGCAGATAATCTGAGAAGCTGAACTATATGAAGAATGCTGCATCCTTGTTGGTGGAGGACTCATTAACAACCTGCAATAATGCAGATGATACAACCTTGTTTGCCGAAAGTGAAGGTGACTTGAAGTACTTACTGATGAAGATCAAAGATTATACCTCAACATAAAGAAAACAAAAATGGTCTTAACTGGACCAATAAGCAACATCACGATAAATGGAGAAAAGACTGAAGTTGTCAGGGATTTCCACAGTCAACACCCATGAAAACAAAAGTCAGGAGCTCAGATGTCATACTGGACTGGGCAAATCTGTTGTAAAAGACCTCTTTTACAACAAAAGACGCTTTTTTAACAAAAAGCGTTAAGGAGCACAGATGGCTCCAGAAATTAACAGATTAACCATTGAGATGTTTCATCAAACAGATGCAGAGCTAGAGGTGTTTACTTGTTTATGCTAAGAAATTTGGAAGACAGCTACCAGGCACTTTCAGGTGTATCTTGCTTTTTGCAATATATGGCACTTTGAAAACTAAGGTGCACCTAGCCCAAGCTGTGGTATTTTCAGTTGCCTTATATGAATGTGAATCCTAGACAATGAATAAGGAAGACCAAAGAAGAGTTGATGCCTTTGAATTGTGGTGTTGGCAGAGGGCACTGAAAATACCATAGACTGCCAGAAGAATGAACAAATCTGTTCTGGAAGAAATGTAGCCAGAAAGCTCCTTAGAAGTGAGAATGGCCAGACTTCACCTTACTTACTTTGGTCATGTTGGCAGAAGGGACCTTTCCTGGAGAAGAATATTATACTTGGTGAAGTAGAGTGTCAGCAAAAAAGGGAAACCCCTCAACAAGATGGATTGACACACTGGCTGCAACCATAGGCTCAAGCATGGCAATGATTGTGAGGATGGTACAAGACCAGACAGTGTTTCATTCTGTTGTACATAGGGTTGCTGTGAGTCAAAGCCAACTCAATGGCACCTAACAACAACCACAGTTAGTTATTACCTCTTTTGCTGTTCTTTGTCATTTATGAAATAATTTGTGTAGTGTTCACTTAAATTAGTTTGAGGAAAAATTGATTTTGCAGGTAAATTTGCTATCAGAAAAGACAGGTTTTCATTCTGTGTTAGTTGTGAGTTAACTTAGTTCAAAATTTGGTGTCTTTCGTGGTAACTCTACATCCTCGATGCCTAGACGCTTTTTTCACCCACATCCTAATATTTTATTTTTTTTTTGTCTACTGTTCTCTCAGAAAAAAAAACAAAAAAACAAAACCTCACTGCCACTGAGTCATTTCTGACTCATAGTGACCCCTTTTGGGATTCTGAGGCTGTAAATCTTTACAGAAGTAGATCTCCCAGCCTTCCTTCCACGGAGCAGCTGGTGGGTTTGAACCACAGACTTTCTGGTTAGTGGTCAAGTCCCTTATCCACTATGCCATCTGAGTTCCTTTCTCTCAGAAATAGAGGGTAATAAATACAGAGTAAA